TGCGGTTCATGTCAGACGTTTGGCGTTGCACCGAAACGGTTGGTAGCAAAGTAGAAATCGCAACCAAATGTTCATAGTTGGTAGTTCTAATCGCATTGCACATTGTACTGTCGTATATCGAACAGTTATTCTTTGTTTATTATAATAACACGTTTATTGAAAACTTTTCCCTTTGTTAACACTTTTAAGATTTTCTCTTTATCATACTCATGCTTCTTGAGGATTCTTTAAAGTGTATGCGGTTTTCCAGCAGCTGTGAATATTATCAACGGTTCCTATGTCGTCGTAAACGAGATAGTTAACATACGTAATGTAATATTAATGGACTATATCTTTTTTGAATGTAATATAATTAAACGGTGCGATGGAGATGCGCGTTTCAGCAAAAATAAGTACACAGTTTTAGGTGCAAAAAGTTAAGCTGCAAAATTTTAAAATTTACAAATTTGACCCTAAGTTCAGATCAAGGATGATGTCAGTGTAAAAGTCTTCTCAACTTTATTTCAGCCGTTTTCTCATGTCTTGATCATCCACACGACGCGGATTCTACTTTTGTCCACTTCTTCATATTTCATTTTCAGGACCTTTCGTTCATTCTATTTGTGAGTTATTCATTCAGACGGCAGATGGCATAATGCAAAGCTTTCTTCCTGTTGCCGTTCGTAAATAATATAGACGGTGGCATCAAATACAAGATTCTGTCAAAAAGTGCTAACTGGATCTATCAAGCACTTCAGATTGATTAGCATTTTTACAGATGGCAAGCCAGTCAGTGCCTGACTTGAACTTGGCGACCGTCTTGAAAGATGGCTTGTCGAATATTGATCGCACTGGTGCTGATTTTCAGCTTTGCAGCTCAGGGCAGAGCTTTTACTTTATTCTCTTTCACCGGTGATGCTCAACAACGGATTGTGGTTGAACGTGAACTTCCTGCTTACACCTGGTGCACTGCCAGTCAACGTGGATGGACAAAACAGAAGAAACGCAGCTGACCTGAATTGTTAGCGTCGAGGCGTTGGTCATTCGCCGGCTTGATGTTCATTGTCATTCATCTTCATTGCTTGCAAACATTCGGAGAGCAAAATTGTTCTCGATTTCGACGTTCATTTAATCTGATATTCGAATACTCTATAGTGACATATATATAACATTTTAGTAAACTGACTGACTGCTGCTAGGGACTGTAACACGTTGGAATTAAGTGGCTAAATATCTGCCTGCTTTCAAGAGCGGTTGCTCCCTGAATACTAAAAGAGAGATCGTAGATTTCGTTGTCTTCGACAGTCAGAGCTTAAACATTTTATTGCAATCAGTAATTGAAGATGCAGTTGAGATTTTTGGCAGAGATTACCTTCTTCGCTGCATGTTTCTGCTGGGCGGTTCAGTCATTCAGTTTCGGTGACCACTTATCCCTTTGGGTCGCGAAGGCTGCTGCGTCATCACCGCTGTTCTTGATTCTGTGCTAGAATTGGAGTTTCGATGCAAGATAATCCGAGCCTGGAGCAGAGTTCTTCGATACATTTGTCCCAGCTTATTTTTAGTCGACCCCCGGTCTTCCACCAGTCGATTGAGCAAGTAGTAGCTGTTTCATATTCATTTCTGGAAGCATTCCTTAGACGCCCAAATCATGGCATCTGCGACCTTTCAGCTTGGAGAAGCTGCGGTTATTCTCGAAGGAGCTCTTCTATTTATCTATATTCCGGATCATGTTGAAACCCATGAGCCCAGCGATTCGTCTCAGGAAGTCCATTTCTGCTTCTTGTGCCTGCAGCTGTCGCTCGTGTGTGTTTGTGTGTTTGGAGGGGGGATTAAGTGCCATATAGGCAACGAGTCACTGTTTATGACAGTGTCGATTCACTTTTAGGGTGAAACTTTCGGCGTTAAAATGAGCCACAGTCAGGTAGGTTTGCGTCAGTTATCATCGAAAATTGGCATATTTGTCCTCAGCGTCGTTGTCAGTGTGATCCTCATTATCAGGGATGAATGGTTATCTGTGCTGTGGAACTTATCCAATGGAATTTTGAGCCATTAACTGCTCTCTGATGAGATATCCTACTGAATATGTAGGTTAGCATGAAGTTAACTTTTATTCACAGATGATAGTGCTAAGCGTTCAAGGGTAAATTTAACTGAAAGATGCGGAGTAGATAATATGCAGAATGTGCCACGTGCGTCGCTGCAGTTTATCTCCCTTATAAGTTCTTTGTAAAATTTTAGCATATTGGGCATGGGTTTTCGGTTTTTAACCAAATTCATACACATAGCTGCACTCAGTTTTCGTCATGTATAATTTGCTGTTTGTTCTTCGCCTGAAACGATCTTTATGAATCTCTGGTGTGTGCCGCAATAACTCCAGCGATACTTTAGTGGCGTAATGCGCTTCATACGTGGCTCAGTTGTGTAGATCCGGATTACAACGAGATCACTCAATGGTACACTGGATGGAAGTCGATGTTCCGGGCGGACCTTCTGGCTATGCCGGCTATTAGAGGTAAGAGGCATATGTAGCTCATTCGGTATGTCCTTAGTTTACCCGTCTATAATAATGCTATCTATAAATTGTTTGAACATTATTTTTTTGATTTAATCTTGAGTTCTGAAAATAAAAGGTGCTGTATTTCATTTTCTCTCTAACGTAAAGTGTGTACGGCTTTTTAAGTTTTTTTGTATGTTTTTCCTTCAGACAGAGTTTCTTGAACAACATCAGAAACATACCAGTGCCAGACTGACGCTGGTTATTCGCTGTATTCAGGTTTTAGCGATCAGAGAGACCGAAATAGGAATATTTTTTACCCATTATTCTTGATTAGCAATTCTATGCGTTGGAGTTGCATGTTTCTTATGATGTGGATATAGAGTTAGGATTTTCCATTATTTCTGGGAGAGACTAAAGACAGTTGCACGACGCTAAATGATAAGATTTCGTATTTTTAAAAATCTAGTTTTCTCTGACGACATGTTGGACGGAGGAAGCAGTTTGAATCCTAGGACTGGCTAACGGATCATATAAGATAATAAAGTAGACTGCTGCCAAAATGCGACTTAACTGTTCGCAATGCACCCCATTGATCAGCTGACCAATTTTTATCAAAAACGGGGAAAGTGTATTTATGAGCAGTGGTTTCTGACCGAAAACTAAGTCCAACAAAGTCAATCCAGGTGGTTTTGAAATCGATGTGTCTGAAGCATCAGCGTAGCACTAGTCCCGACGAGCCATGAATTGCCATACTTCAGTAAGAATGTAGCGGTGAAGTACCTAAGGATGGCACCTGAATGAAGACGGAGTAAAATTGAACTGAATAATGATGAGAAGCAGTGCGAAGTATGGCGTTGGAACTGTACGACAAGCGCCAAGCGAGATTGGCTAGCAAGCCGACTTTTCTTCATGAACTCTGAATGGAACGGTGGTTCTGTATCTCTGTGTTTGGTGTACTTTGGCTCTGAAGAAACAGTTTATACTTTCTTTACTGCAAATAAAACTGCTCGGTTTCCTCAAGATCCATTTGTGAATATGTCATAGTGTATTTTTAAAGCCTGTTTTTTTAGAGCAGTTTAATCTCGCCTTGGATATGATGAACCAAATTTTGTCTGGAAATTTACCACCCCCTTGCGCGCGACGCGATGCTTCTATACCTCCTGTAGAGCCTTACCTGCGAAAGCCAGAGGTAAACACTGCCGTATCCAAATGAACGTTGATGCTTGTTTGCATTCACTCTTCATTAACTCTTCACTTTATTAAATCTTCACTTAATTTAGCTGCTGACGGCCAGAGTGGCGTCGCCAGGCTTGACTGTTCCGGTCAGTTTCACGGAGTTGATCGAAAGAAGGGCCATCGACATGGGTATTCCGTTTATGCCCGTGCCCAACAAGTACCGCGAAGGCAAACCTGTTTTCCGGTTCGGTCCGTTTCTCATTTACGTCGATATGAACGTGATTTTCATGCAACAGCAAATGAACCAGTGGATTCCGGTATCGCTCGAACAACTGGTTTCTACTGCTATGCACAGCGGTTGACGGCTACGCGTTATGTTGCTCGAGATCTCCTCTTCGAATGTCGGCAGTTTGGTTGCTTCCTTCGTTTTGTCTTCCAATCTGAATCCAAACCCAGTACTTCCCTCAGAGTTTGGCTGCTGCCAATCACATACTCCGCCGCTGAAGTTGATGAAGCTCTTCATTTTTTGGATCCGCTAGTAAGAGATTGTTACTCTTGCATATGGGGTCTCCTGATGCAGCTCTTATTTTCACCATGTTGACTTAGCGCTTCTCTGTTTGTACCTTAAAACCTGTTTTGATGAACTGATTAAATTTTATTGATTTTATTTAGGATTATGTTTATTATCTGACTAAATTTAAGTAAATCTTCAGTTCCGTCGTGTATTTATTTTGAAGAGGCGAACGACTCTGTCATGAATATCTGTTCTGTTTTTCGGCCGCTTCAAGAGGACGAGTAACCGTACCGTTGTCGCTAAGCAGTGTTTGTATTTTATAACTAGCTATTCACAGTATTTTAAAAAATATTCATCCTCTTGCAGGGCTTGAGTGATATTCCGTTTGCACTGAATCTGAATTTCCATCTAGTGTATTGTACGTGCTGTGGTAATTTGATTGCCGATTTAAGCTATTAAGCTAATGTTCAGCGATACCTTCGCATTTGTACTAAATCTCGCACAAGGTTTTGTTAATCATGGAATTCTCATGCTGCGTGTTTTATGTTATGCCGAATGCAAATGACTAGATAAGGGATTTCTGACCTATAAAGTATGCAGGAAGCGCCTTTTTTTAATCCACTTCTGAGGCAGCAACAAAGCCAGTATATTTTAATGTTTGGATAAGTAATTTTTATACAGTCCACAAAAATCTTCAACATCTAGTCAGTAGAAAACCAAAACGCTTTGAATTTCTTTAAGGTAAATAAGTTCAAATTACTGTGCGCATAGCTGAGAAAGTGAGTGTGTAAATTAGGGGAACATTAGCTCAAATTAAATACATCATAGTCGAAGAAGCACATTAAATTTGACGTAGGATTCTAGAAGAACTTACATTAGGTGGAACTTCGAGCGATAATCAACAGTCAACAAGAAAAGCTAAATGTTTTAAATGTGTGATAATTCTGGATCAACAGACTCGAACCAATGAAAGTCGGGAGTAATTTGCTCTGCAAGTATTCTGTCGCCGCATCGGGGCAAAAGCGAACTTATAGAACTGTGCTATGAGTAAGCACCTATGCAATACAAGAATTTCTTTAAAATACAGGCTTGACAGTCGAAGAAAATGTCATCATTATAATTGTCATCCGGTGGCAATCTGAAAAGTAAGCAACCGAAGAAAAAGGTTAATACCGTAATAGGAGCAACAAACCAACAGCAAAATAAAAAAGACGTACATGGTTACCTCTGTTATATTATTACAGCTCCACCATGTAAACTTTGTATTTGTCTTGTCATAATTTAGCTTACAGTGCGTATTGGCGATTACACCATTTGAGATCACTGTAACCGCCGTGTTTTTAAACTCAATCTTTGGCCAGGTTGTAATAAGGCTTGTAGGTTTCGCAATGATGGGACAAGTACACAAAGACAGGCTTTCCAGTAGGTAGTTTACCATTGTGAGACGCAACATCATTGCAGATATTGCTAGGATGGGTCATTGATAGTGCACTCGTCAATCCGTTTTGATTTGCTTTAACTAGAAATACAATATATGCAAAAAGATATATTTAGTCAAGTAAATTATGAAATTAGAGCTTAAACGAGTGCCTCATTTCCACTTGAAACATTTTCTGAAGGTGTACTGTACAATTTAAACGGTACCTCTGTTTTACGGCAAACAATTTCTATGATGCAGGTCAATTCTAATATGCAACGATTTATCATATTCTCTGCTTCGCGACCCTCATGATTAACTCAAGAGTCATGAAAATTAGATGACTGTTTTTCGCCCGAAGGATTAACCTGCCTCAAAAGTAATATCGTTTAAGTGCATATGACAGTTTCTCATAGACTGTTCCTTTTCTTTTAAATTTTGAAAGGTTCACTGAATGAACGAAGTAATTGAAAGGGCACCAATCATGATACATTTTAAGGAAAGAAAACGGGTCGTTCAAGAGTTTCAGATCGAGACAAGATAAGTGAAGAAATATATTGATGTAATGCGAATAAAAATAGTAGAAACAGAATTTTGTGGCGAAATCTTGAAGAAGCTTTCGTTTAGTAGGGGATGTATAAGGTTGATAGTGATGACAGGCTATACAA